TTTAAAATGATTCACTCTGTAAGCTACTAACCGTAATTATGGCATCATGCATGCATAAGTCGCCAGTCCTAAAATCACGCTCCATTTGTGTAATTTGTTCGTTTCGAACCATAGCAAACATTCGAAATGACCGTGTCGCCCTTTTATAACTGAAAAAAATTTCTTTAATCACACTCTTGTCGAATAATGAATTAATTAATTAATTGCAATAAAAAGTAATAACATAACTTATCAAATTCATCTTGGCACTAAAAATTTGTCAAAACGGCTACCATACAGTTCCTCGAATACAAACTTTGCGTATTGTTAATTAAGAAATAAAACATACAATTTGTTTTTAACTTCGTAGTAATTGAATTTAACCAATTTAATTATTTGCTATTTTTGTGAATAAAGGCGATAATGAGATGCTTACACATGTTCACTCTCTTCATTAATATATCCTGGCCTCCACTGCAATTCATCGCGATCTGGTTCATCCACCGCAGAGCATTTCTCTTTAGGGGGCAATTTCGCCTGAAACCAATCCCGACATATTTGAATATATACACTGATTGTAAATAATTTCTTCCCCCAATCGCTGATTTATGATACAAAAGGAGGAGACTATATCCTTCTATCACAATCCATAATCTTTTTTTCTTTGAAATCAATAAAAATGTGAAAAATAATTAATAAACAATTAGAATTATCAGCTCAATATAAAAAGGATAAAGAATGCAATCGAAAAAATGATATTTAAAAAAAATTAGGATTGAAAATAGGATTACTGTGGAGAGAGAAAAAATCATATAAGAAAACTGGGATGAACAACAGGTTTGCATAATACTATTCTACCATATGAGAAATGGATTCCGCCAAGTTCTTTCTTACATTTCTGAAGCAACTAAAAAGTTTTGAGAAATAAATTAACTTTCCAACGATTATCAAACCTCAAATTGAAAAAAAAACTTGGACTTCTTAAATGTTAATGCTCATCATGTTTTCCTTATCTTATCAATTCCACACAAATATATGACTGTCCAAGTTTTTTTTTTTCAAAAAACTGGAAAAGCAAACTAAACAAACCTGATATGATCCGCCAACGCGGATTTCACCTTGCACTGATGCCAGCCTGCTATTATTTGGATCGAATGATATCAATGAGAAAAAAATATCAGTCAAAGATTGTATGTCACATTCGCGTAACGTGCGAATGTCTTTAATCAAACGTATCGTACATTTACCCCTACAAATTAGTAAACATTTTATTACTGTGAAGAAAAAAATTGAAATAAAACAAATCAACGAACGGTAAGAAAATGAAATTTCCAATATAGCATATTAACAACAGTGCAAAAAAAGGAAAAAAGTGGAAAGATTTCTTTTTTTTATAATTTCAAATTTTAGCAAATTTACAAACAAATAGAAAACTGAGATATACTAAACGATATCATTCCCCAAAACAAATGAGCAGTTAAGTGTAAATGTTATTACAACTGATCATTATCATATTATCAATTATCACAACAACAATACACTGCTACAACTCGATCACTAAAAGTTACTTATTATCATTTCACTATTCACTCACTGAACAACAACTAATATTTACAACATATCAGTTAACATAGCGGTGTAGGAAAATGATGATTATGATTTGAAAGAATGGTATGAAAGAAATGAAAAATTAAGATTCCTTGTATAAACTTAAATGTATCACATCGATTCGTCCTTTTTCAATAAATTTCTCACGAATGAAGTTCTAATTAAGAGATAAGAAATGACACTGTTGACCCTTTCGTTTCAATTTTTTTTAAAATAATGACTGGCAGTTTAATGAAGCTCGAATATGCCATCCATTTGATATTAAATTTCGAATATTACACTTAATTCAAATTGCAAAGTATGAACTAATTCAAACTTCAATATTTCATCCTCTCTATCATATATAATATATAATTATCTAATAAACACTTACACATGAAGAGTTCATTAATAATTTATCATTTTCAATAACTTATTCATTCTCAACATCTATCAGCTTTTAATATTAATTATTGTTGTTGGAATGCTACTTATAAATTAGTACTCAAATGTGAAATATGGTTAAAATTGAAACTCTCATATGTTCAATAAAGAAATATATTAAAATTCAAAGCTTTCAATAATTTTAACAAACAAACTACTCTCACTCAATCATGAAATAATTTCTATAAATAAAGTATACATAAATATAATAACGATGGGAAAGATTTCCTAAATAACATTATGACAGAGAAAGAAAAATTATTATGAGGAAAGTAAAATTAATACTAACAATAAAGTAAAGTACATATATTATATACTTTATTTCAGCACCAATATAGAAAAGATGGAATGATGAAAGAATGGGTAAGGAAATGGTGTAATTAGATTAGGTAATGATGAAAAAGAGTAGTAAAGAGAGTGAATAAAATGAAGGGTCAAAGATGAGAAGAAATGGTAAGCATTAAATTCATCATTTCGACTGAATTTGTTCTAAGAAAGAGAGAAAAGTGATTAATACATGTCAAAAAAGTCAATTAGAAATGCTCTCTTCTCCTACTACTCCCTCTCTCTCCTCCTTCCTCCCTCTCTTTCTCTCCTTTCTCCCACCCCCTCTTTCTCTCTCCGTGTACACGTGAGCGGAAAGAACAGATTTATTGCATTGTTAAATCGATCAATTCTATTATTTAATTGCACATCACAACATATATGGAGAATGTGTTTGAATCGTTAGATATGTATAAATCATTTCCTCTTATTTCTTTTTTTACTTAATTACTTACTCATTAAACAATACTCATAATACAATTTTAAAAATCTCATAACTATGTTTAGAATAAATGAATAAAGCAATTTGAAGAGTTTATAGATTAATGTCAGAATGAATAATTCCTTCAATTATCGAATCGAAGAATACTAAACAAAAACTTGAAAATAAGAGGCTGAAACTATCAATGAAATCGACCAATCCATCATTTTGCTCTAAATCACATTTCTGGAAGTGGAAATAAACTGTTAATATTAAACTGTCACATCATATTTAAATATGTGAAGATACGAAGGAAATAAACGTACTATTTTTTACAAAAAAGTTTAGATTAGAGGTAATTAGTCCTGAAAATTTTAAACGTTCAATTTTGCCATCCAAAATTACAACTGATAGTAAATGAATGATAAAAAACAATTTTAAAAAAGTTTAATAATGTTTTTTATTTATTTGAATGATAGAGATAGATCGACCGATCAATAATTCTTATCACTTTCAACAAACTATCAATTCCATCAAAAAATATTTGAAAAGACCAATTATTTACTACATTTATGAAAATAACATAAGTTTAAGCTTTTTTAAAAAAAAAATATAATTTAAAAATGAAGGGAAATGAAATAAGTGATAGGATAGATATGAAGTTTAATATATTTTGGACAAAGGAAAAAAAAAGAGAGAGAGAAAGGGTGAATGAATGAAAATATTTCATTGTTTCAATAGAG